TATTTTCCCTTTTATTTACTATTTTCTAGGTAGATTTTAAAATTTTAAATTTTCTGCTTAATCTTTTTGTTTGTGTTAATAAAATAAAATTCATGTGCTGTCGAGTCACTTTAGATAGTTTCCGTCATTTATCGGATTCTCCCAAATTCTTGAGCCATAACCGAAAATTTTTAATTATTGGTTTAAAGCATGACACAGACCCAGAAAGTATATTGCTTGATTTAGACTGAGTTCGAGAAATTTGAGAAAGTATTAATAACATCGGTACCATCTTGACACCACAAACCCCCTGAATTTGCTGATGAATTTGAGTACTTATTATGCCAAAGCCTTAAATTTTAGATTAACCTCTTGATTTGTTTATACTAGCAGTCAGCACCATCTTGAAGCACAACCTAAGTAATAAATCGATGCAAATACATGTTTGATCTTAAAAATAAGAATCGAATATAATTATTAGAAAAAGTGAATGAAAGATATGCTCTTACTAAGTTAGGTGGTCCTTACCCGACCATTTAGCCAAACGGATCGGACTCTTGAAATTCAAAAATGCACAAGAAAAAAGAATGTGAAAAAGTTCTGAAAAAGAGATCAATGAACACTAACAGGTTTATTTACCATGGGCGTGCGGGGATAACAGACTTAATGTGATTGCGCGAGAATGAAAAAGAGGTGAAAATGAATAGGCTGAGTTATAATAACATGATTCAAACTTGTCTGCACAGAGAGGGAGTTTTTGATTGCACTTAGTAATTTCGTGTCACTACGTTATCCTTAGTATTTTTAACCAGTACCTATCTTTCGTGCGAAAGTTTCACAACGATGTATGATCTGCATTATGTCATGTTAAATTCCATGCCTAATATGTTTTATTTGCTTGAGGACAAGCAAATGTTCAAGTGTGGGAGAGCTTGATAACGCGAAAATATATCGGATATTTGACTTGACATGCATTGATTTTATTAGCGTTTATTGCTGTTTTATCTGATTTATCTTCAATTACGCATTTGTTTTCTTGTGTTTTATAGGTTATAAAAAATATGGACTAAAGAAATAAAAGAAAAAAGAAATGAAGGAAATGGAAATAAAAGAGGAAGAAAAGATCAAAGAAAGAAAAGAAGAAGAAAGAAAGAGAAAGGAAAGAAAAAAAAGGGTGGGGGCCACCACACACCAAGTGGCACTTGCCACTTGGGTGTGACGCCTGCCACCATGGATTCAAAAGGGAGTGTGGCGCCTGCCACCTTCCAAGGGAGAGGGGAGTGGCGAGTGCCACTCCTAGAAAGTAGGAGAGTGGCAACTGCCACTCCTAAAAGAAAGAGAAATGGCGTCTGCCACTTCCTCCCTACATTTTCTTCACTTCTCCCCTACTTTTTCTCAACCTCCTGACTGCATTTTCTCCGAGCTTCACTCCTCGTTTCAGACCAGAATCTTCTGTAACCGTCGCTCACTAACAAATATAAATACCAGATGCAGTTTTGGAAAAAGGGGGACTTAGGATTTTCTGTTTCGTATTATTTTTCAGCATTTTTGTTCTTAGTTTTCTTTGCACTTTTTAGAGAAAATATTGTAAGGCAATTGTTTTTCACACTGATAAACAATTGCCAGTTAGTTTTAGGATTGATTTAAAGGTTGTAATATTGTACAGAACTTCAAGTCGGCCTTCATAATCAAATTCAAGAGTTTTCTGTTCTTCAAATTGTCAGGTTCCATTTATCTATTTTTATTGTTATTGTTAATTTTTATGCATCCCTTTTGTTTTATGTTTAGCATTAAGATTAGATTTAGTAATAGCATGAAAGCCATGTCTGGCTAAACCTTTTAGTATCGGTATGTAATTATGATCAGTCGGAAGGGGTTAAGTAAATCGTGATGTAAATTTAACAGATCTAATTCTTCTGGTCTTAGTTTCTTTTAATAACTTAATAACTTTTGTTACGATAGTAAAAAGGTAACGAATGTTAAGATCAATACAACGAGAGTTTGAGATCTTAACCAGATAGTTGAAACTGAACTTTAGTCTTAAATACAGCGAGAGTGCTTTAAGGTTAATTAGGATCTACTTATTTTCAAAAAGTGTTTTTAAATACAAATGAGAGAGCGAGAGCCTTCATTCTAATTTGAGAGTATAGTCTAAGTCAATAAACACGATTGTGTGAGATAAGGTCTTTTAAATGAGTATTTTCTACATAATAATAATTTTTCTTTTTAAACTAAACACCCACGAATTACTGAACCCCCGATGATTGATAGGATTATATACCGATATTTCGCATTATCTTAATTTAATTTGATTTTCATTCTGCATTTATTTTCTTACTCGCATCTCAAATTTAGAAATCCATTAGCCTTAGATTTACGTAGTAGCATTAGATAGCGATAGATCGATTCTTGGTCCTTTGGGCTCGATAATCTTTATAACTACGCGATTAGACTGTGCACTTGCAGTCACGAAGCATTTAGACATACTAAATAGCAATCAGGAGTGCACCCACAAAAGCAATGTAATACACTTTTGTAAAATACACATCTATTGCAATAATAGAAGTTTATTATACAAACCGGAGTGATTGGTTTTTTATTGCACGAAATGTGATATTATTGCATAGATGTATATACGTTTATTTCAAATTAACTGCAGTTAATGCAATAAAAATTTAAATTATCAATTATTTCAAATAATACATATGGAATTACTTAATATCTATGCATTAAATAACTTAATACACTTTTGATATCTATGCATTGATATTATTATTTAATAATAAAAATGTTATTTAATGAAGTTACTTAATGTCTATTAAATGCATAAATATTTGTAAATCACTGAAATAATGTCACATTTCGTGCAATAAAATCTCTATTGTAGTTAACTCCATATGTATTAGACATAAAATATACTTTTATTGTCCGTGAATATCAATGTCTATTACGTAACACTTTTATTAGACATTAAATATCTATGCATTAACAAAAAAAAAATATCTTCATAGTATAAGTCTTAACAAAAATTAGCAGATCATAGTATAATTCTTCATAGAATACACAAATTAGCCGTTCTTAACATGTTTAATAAATTCATTCGATTATATTTAAAAAAACATACCTGGCAAAAAATGAATTATCTTGATAATGAAGAAAAAAATATGTAAGGGGCAAATATGGAGAAAAAAATATGGTCACTCCAAAAGGTAGTATTTCCTTTATATTTAGGTATAAATATGTATAGAATGTTTGAATGATACACTCTCTCTCACATCTATTTTTCTTATAATAAACCTATTTTATAAAATAAATATATGTTCATATAAAAAAAATATTAAAGAATATTATTTTCTTAATATATGTTCTTACCAAATTTATTTATTTTTTAGTTTGAATTTTTCATTAGTATACCTTTTTTTTTTAAAGGGAAAGGTAAATATTTATAAAAAATGAAAATATTGATCAATAACTATATAAAAGTTTTAACGAATAGAAGTAGTATTTCCAACGGTACTTGTACATTAATTAAAGAAAACTATTTAGACTTGCAGACTTTAAAAGAACACTCATAATCTACAACAAAAGACAAAATCATAATATATATAACAAAAGAGTAAGTGAAGTAAGTTATATAGAGAGAATAAAACTAATGTGTATTTTCTTAATGAAGAGTATAGAAGAAACTAAAACAAAAAGGATAAAAAAAATATCAGAATATAGAAAGGGGGTTCCATCCCCACGCATGTATGGGTAAACCAAACTTTATTTGTGGGAAAGTCATATGACAGGAATCGAACCATGGTCCTCATACACATCATTAAAACAATTTTTCATTCTTTTTTTGTAAAAGAAATTTTTTTCACTTGTTATATTATAAGTGTTAAACAAGTATCTGATCCAAATTCTGAAAAAGAAATTTTGCTTTTTTTCAAAACAAATTGCTGTTCCAAATTCTGAAAAAGAAATTTTACTTTTTTTCAAAACAAATTGCTGTTTTAAATACTAAAATTTTTAGCATTATACTTCTCTCATTATAAGAAAAAATGTATTTAGTTAGAGGTTTAACCCCTCACTAAAGAAAAAAAACTCATTACAAAAAATCAATTTGCAAGGGGATATGATCCCTAACTAATCGGGACATTACAAATTAATGGCTAGAAAATAGTCTCTCACTAATTTGGTTAGGAGATAAGCCCCTCGCAAATTGCAATGAAAAAAATCAACCTGTTACACTGTTGACAATAGACGCAGACTAGTGGACAATTAGACATGTCAAATATTTGTTAGAGGATAACCCCTAGCTAAATCACCTGTGTTATGCATTTAGTGAGGGGTTAAACCCCTAGCCATTTGTGTCAGACTTTTGTGAGGGGTAAAATTCCTAACAAATTGTCTTACGTTTTGCAATTTGGGAGGGGTTTAACCCCTAACTAATCATTATAATATTATTATTAAAATTTATAATTATATTATTTTAATTATTATTATTATTAGAATAATATAATTATATAATAATTTTTTATTAAAATTTATAATTATATTATTTAATTATATTACTTAATTATATTATTATAATTAAAATAATATAATTATATAATAAATAAATAAATATTTTAATATAATTATATAATAAATAAAATATATATTTTTAAGTTTTGTAAAATATAATAATTTATAATTAAAAGTGCAATAAAATTAAATATCCACATCCATCATTAAAATAAAAATAATTCATGACAAAAATAAAATTTAAAAATATATATTAAAAGTTTTATATTTTAACATATTTAATCAACTTTTTCATCATCCTCCTCATCATCCTCATCTGTTTCTCCAACACCTTGATTCATATGTGAAACCATAAATTGTTCAAATTTCAGTGCGCGTTCATTTGCAATCCGCATTGCTTCCTCATACTCCGTTGTTTTTCTCCTCAATTCTTCCTCCACCTTTGCTTGTCTTCTCCTCATTTCCTCTATCTCTGCTTGTTTAGCTGCTGCTCCGCGTGTTGCCTCGGTCTACGCCAAATTTCTCGCAATTTCAAGCATATTAGCGGTTAATATAGGTGGACGTGATGATTCTTCTCCATCATCAAGTCTCATTTTGAAAGTCCTATCACGCGGCTTAATTGTTTTGGCATACCCTCCAGCACCATACACCCTCCCTTTTTTCCTCTTCCCACGAGCAGTATTATACCAAGTCCGAAAACTTAGACAAGGATCAATAGGATATCTTTGTGGCGGTGGAGGTAACTCAGGATGATCAGAAAAAGAAAGTGCAACTTTTCTATCATACTCCTCCTATAAAAAATAAATAAGTTAGATGTTATCATAATAATTTAAATAAAATAGGTACATAAAACAAAGAAATAAAATGACTAAATTTTAGAAAAACTTACTTGAGTGTCCTTTGAGCGTTTATCGACAAACTCCCCATTTTTCTTGATATGAGTCTCTAGATAGATCTCATTAAGCATCGGAGTTCTACCCAACTCATCACGCTAATAAAATAAAACATAAGTAAAAAAAATAGTTAGTTTTTATCTAAATTTTAAATGAAAATTTAAGTAACATAAATAAATTTACCAGTCCGTGTGCAATTTCAGCAACACTAATACTTCCTGCTGCGTAGTTGCGTCCACCAACTTCAGATGTCCTATTTTTTCTTTTTTTGCTATTTCAGATACTTGCTTAAAAATTTATGAATTCCAATGGTCAATAAATTGTTTAAATACATTTTCACCTATCCAACAGGGACGTGTTCCTATTTTTCCCATTTAATTCGAACACGCCTAAGCGTGTCGGATAATCGGGCAACATATTTTAACTTACAAATAATATACTTATATGTTTCTACAAATATTATATAATATGTTTCTACAAAAATGTATACCTTCTAAATAAAAGTGTATATTTTCTACAAAAATGTATACTTTCTATAAAATATTATATAATATTTTTCTAAATATATATTACTATAAAATATCTTAATATTTTAAAATATATATACTTTTTAAATAAAAATGTATAGTTTCTAAATAAAAATTATATATATTACAAATTATATACTTTATATAAAGAGTGCATATTACTTAAATATATTTCAAATTATATATTTTTATAATTTAACTAATACTTTTTAAATAAAAGTTTATATTAATATATAATCAATTCTTTTATAATATGAAATATTTAATATATACAATCAACTTTTTAATCATTTATTAATATAAATGATTATATAAATACTCTTTTATAAAAATATTTAATATATACAATCAACTTTTTAATCATTTATTAATATAAAAGTATTCTGTTTTTTAATATAAAAATATTTTGTTTCTTAAACAAAACTTAATATACAATACTATTTTCAATAATATGTTTAATATATAATCTATTTTTAAAACAATATTTTCTATAAATATATTACTAAAATATGTTTTTAAAATATTATTTAATATATAATTTGATTTTTAAAATCTGTTTTTAAAATATTATTTAATATATATTCCGACTTTTAAAATTATTTTTACAAATATTTTAATAAATTTGTTTTATAATATATTTTAAAACCCTATTTTACAAGTTGTTTTGTAAATATATTTAATATATAATCTATTTAAAAATTCTTAAATCTTAAATAAATAGCGTTAAATAAACATCTATGTCGTTTACTGGTTGTTTTAGACCCGAAATCATCATCGATAACATCATATATTTGTGCTTCATACACAACCATGTAGATAAGTTGTAAATTATGAGAATAACATAACATAAAGTATTGTTAGTACTCAAATTACAAAAAATGTTCATTCTGATGGTGGCAAGTTCCAAGCCTAAGTTTCCTTAGTTCAAGGGTAAAATCTAGAACAAGGAATCAATTTTCTTTCATTGCAATGAATCAACTGCTTGGAAATTTTTTCCATCACACACTCTTTTATCTGCATGTCATCTAATATTCTTTGAGTAATTTACGTTAGAAAATAATCTTTTGAACCTTTGAATTATCGGGAGGTACCACATCACCTTGGAAGGAACACTATTTCTAGTTACATTGTCATCGGCTTCAATACCATTTTTCTTCTACTTGTAGCGTGACTCCCCACATCTCGGACGTTCCTTCAAGTTTTCAAAATCTTTCCTATATAATATGAAATAATTACAACATGCATGTATTTTGACATAGTCCAAACCCATTGGACATAATATCTTATTGGTCTCATAACTACGGTTCAACGTGTTACCTTCTACAAGCATTTCTTTCAACAATTCAAGAAATTCAATGAAACTTCTATTCGTCAACTCACCTCTTGTCTTAAGATTAAATAGTCTTAACACAACTGGCAATCTTGTAAACCTTCTGCATCCCGGATACAACGACTCTCCCATGTCTTTTTGCAAAGTATCTACCGCATTATCTTTCTTGAAAGCATCCAATCCAATATCATGAATCATGTCTTCTAGAGTATCATACATAAATTCATCATCATCTTCAACTGTATGTGACAAATGTCTTTTTTTGTCACTTCACCATGTCATTCCCATTTCGTGTAATTTTGAATAATTCAATCACAACCTAAATGGTTGAATATAACAACACTTGGAAGTTTATTTGCGTATTTCGGCAAATTTTACAAGTACACCAAAAAATCCAATTATCGTTAAGAAGATTTCTTTCTGCGAATTCAAGAAATTGAATCACTTCATTCTCATATCTTTTACTTAATATATTAGCTTTCATCCAACTATGATCCATAATCACAAATAGCTTATGAAAATAAAATAAATATAATACACAACAAACAAAAATAAACATTATAAGTCTCAAAACTATAATAACAGCAACAACAACGACATAAACAACAACAACAACAACAACAACAAATAACAACAACGATAGTGAAGAATTTGTACATACCGAAAATGTGATGACAGTTTAAGAAAAGTGTTGCTTTGAGGTTTGAGCTTCATTCCTCCTTGGAGAATAATTGTGTTTGAGTTTCATTTGATGGAGAAAAATAGTATTTTAGTAACTTCGATAGCTAAGGCGCAAAAAGTGAATGAGACTTAACATTGAATCTAAAGGAATAAAAAATTGTCAAGAGAGATTTTATCTCGATTTTATTAAAATAATGAGCGAACATATCCGACATAAAAATTATAAAAATTAAGACGGCTTTTTAATTGTGAACAAAACATAAAATTGAAAGCGCTGAGAATCAAAACTCAAATCCTACCAACGTTTTATGTCAGTGTTTGCAAAAACCGAGATAAAAGATTAAGTTTTAAAAAAATACAAATAAATGACACATTTCAAATCTTTTGATCATAGTTTTTCAATAACTGAGATGAATATTTCGTTATAAAATATATTATTTGTAGTACTGAAAAGAGAATTAACAAGACGTACTCATTGTACTTTTAGAATTAAATTCTAGAAATAAAAGTTTGAAAAACATCTGCAATCATTTCTTGAGAAATACTTCCTCCTTGAATATTCTTCTCTTATTCTCTTTAGGTTGCCAAAAAAAAAAAAAAAATATATATATATATATATATATATATATATATATATATATATATATATATATATATATATATATATATATATATATATATATATATATATATATATATATATTTCCGATGGTCTTCGTAGCGCCTTTGAAATAACTGCAATTGTTGAGTGCCCTTTATTAGTGTTTTATAGAAACATTATTGTTAGCGTATAAATTATTTATAAAAAAAACATGCTCAATTTTTTTTGGGGGTTTCCTCGTTTTTTTATAAAAAAGAAGCACTTTATTAAGAAAAAAAACATTTTTTTTGGATCCTATTGTTTATCCTTGTTAATCTAACTAAACTGAAATTCACTCGCAGCTTAACGAATTGAGTTTCCCTCTGTTCTTCCCCTAAAGAACAAACTTTATTCTTCTCTTTTCTAACTCAGAAACTATATTCTCTCTACAGAGTTCTATGTTCAATTTTTCTTTTATTTTTCATATTCAAAAGTAATTCGATTTCTTTTAAATTAGTATTGATAATGATAAAACCTATGTATGATAGGTTAATTCATTTGAGGCTATAATATATTCAATTGAAGGCCTAGGTAACGAAAATTTTTTTGTTCATTTTTCAATGGAATCAAACAAATTTGGTGATTATTTTCTTGATTTGAAAGTTTATTTGATCCAACAATATAACTCATTTCAAAATTATTTTTATTTTGTAAAGGAAGCAAATTGAATGAATAAACTCTTTTAGATCAAATATTCTAACCGTAAAATATTAAATGCTCCTTTTAAAAAATTTTAATGCAGGTCAACCATTATGATATTAAATGCACTTGATGTCCTTGTTTACTCAATATTTTGGATGGTATTCCGGTGTACAGATAACTATTTTGAGATCACTCTGAGAGTGTTCTACCTCCTAGTTTTATTTTGGACACCCTTGTATATATTGTTCTATAGTTGTAGGTTTTTTTTACATGTAAATATGTACAATGTTTTCAATAGACACTTATGTATTTCAGTACCAGTATTACACTATGTATAATATGTATTTTTAGACATATATTATATCTGAATGTTACAAATTTAGTATTTTAGACCGGTCTTAATTATTCCTTAATTAACCTAATTTTTTTTTTAAAAAAATATTTATTTTATTATATCAACGTAAACCGCATTTGTCTCCAATAACTTCTCTTTTATTTTATTTTTTTGCAAAATAACCTCTTCTCGAATATTTTTTCACAAAATCTCAATGTCGTATCATCTTCTTTTCACATTTTTTCAAACCAAGTCATTTCAATTGAATTAGTCCTTAACTTCTGGCATCTTCTAGAGTGATTTTGAAATACATGAGTTATTTTAATTTTTTCGCATACATTACTTCATTCTATTATATTATTTGTTTCAATTATATGTATTTTAATTTTATTTTTTTACCACAATAAATAAATATTTTAGAAAATTTTAATAAATGTATGAATCCATATCACATATATTTTTACACAAATAAATTAAAATAAAATTAAAGTTAAATAAAAAATACCCCGATATAGTCCCAGCTACACCGAAACCACTTATTGAATGATTTGTAACTGATAACTCTTGTCAACTACCTACAAGACCATCCAATATAGTCTGTTCTACTATTTACACTTAGTGCGTACTAAATATTGGTTTGCTTCTCGTTGCTATAAGAACACATAATACTGTGATGTTATCTTTTAATTGATAGATGATGTATTACATATATAGTATTATATTATATACAAATGTAATGAATGTAAATATTAATGGTAATTAACAGCAAATCAATGTCAACTAATACTAATTGATTTGTTGCTCTAAGTTAGCCTAAGAATTAGGAACTGATATTTGACCAAGTTATGCAGCCTTGTCATTGCCTTGTCGTGATGCTCCTATACGCCCCCTCAAGAGCAAGTTTCCATCGATAACTTGCATCTTGGAAGTGAGATCTTTGAATTGTTGTGTGGCAAGAGGTTTTGTGAGAATATCAGCTAGTTGGTCCTTTGTAGAGACATGAGAGACTTGTAGAGTGCCAGCTTGAACTTGTTCTCGAAAAAAATGATAGTCCATAGAGATATGTTTCATCCTAGTATGAAAAACAGGATTTGAGCATAGATAGGTTGCTCCTACATTATCACATAGAATCCTTGGAGGTTGCGGAATTGGAACCCGTAATTCTTTGATTAATTTGAGGAGCCACATAAGCTCAGCTGCTCCTGTTGCTACTGCTCGATATTCTGCTTCAGTGGACGATCGAGCTACTGACCTTTGTTTTTTCGATGTCCACGAGATCGGATTGCCACCAAAAAATATTAAGTATGCCGAGGTTGAGGTTCTATCATCAGCATTACCACCCCAATCTGCATCAGTGTAGGCAAGTAAGTTGAGAGAAGTTGGTTTGCGTAACATAATACCATAATTCATTGTGGATTTCAAGTACTGCAACATTCTCTTAAGATGTTGAAGATGTAATGTGGTTGGTTTGTGCATAAATTGTGAGAGTTTGTTGATGGCAAATGAAAGATCTGGCCTTGTTAGATTTAAGTATTGAAGTGATCCAAGGACTTTTCTGTAGTGTGTGGGATCTGTTGTCGGGGTTTCGTCATGCAAGCTTAGAGTGGCTGTTTGAGAGAGAGGTGTTGGGGACGGTTTGACTCCTTCTATTTCAAACTTTTCAAGGATATCTCGAATAAATTTGTGTTGAGATAGGAATAGGCCCTTAGCCATGGGGATGAATTCAACTCCCAAGAAATAGTGAGGTGTTCCCATGTTCTTGAGTGAGAACCGATTTGAGAGAGACGTAATAAAGCTTGTAAGAAATTTAGCATTATTGCCAGTAAGTAGTAAATCATCAACATACACAAGAAAATAAGCCAAAATTGATCCTGAAGCATAAATGAATAGTGAAGGATCATTTTGACTTATTTGAAAACCATGGGAGATGGTGAATGATTTAAGTGCATCATGTCATGCTCTTGGTGCTTGTCTCAAGCCATAAATTGCCTTGTGAAGTTCGCACACATATTGAGGGTGTAGTTGATCTTTCATACCAGGTGGTTGAGCCATAAAAACTTTTCCTTTGAGAGCTCCTTGGAGAAAGGCATTGTTAACATCAAGTTGGTGCATGGGACAAGCATTACCGAGTGCAATAGTGAGAATGAGTTTGACCGTTTGAGGTCTCACCACTGGTGCAAATGTTTCTTTGAAATCAACTCCCGGGCATTGGGTGAACCCCTTTGCAACTAGTCTAGCCTTATATCTTGAGATAGAACCATCTGGATTTCTTTTGATGCGAAACAACCATTTACAATCAACGATGTTGTGGCCTTTTGGCGGTGGAACTAAGGACCACGTTCCATTGCGTATTAATGCATCAATTTCTTCAGATATTGCTTGCCTTACATTGGATGGCTCAAGATTCTCTGATAAAGGATAGTTTGTAACATTGAACACACGTTTCGGCTTGAAGATATTGTTTTTGGATCTGGTTACCACATGATAATCACTAGTAACTGTTGTAATTTGGTTAGTGACACAAATGCTATTATGAGGAGAGTGTTGAGTTTCAACATCATTACCTGATGAAGTTTCTGAACTCAAGGAAGCCTCTGGAAGGATTGCTGGTGGTTGTTGTGGTGGTGGATTAGAATTAGTAGTGTTTGTGGGTGGGATGGGTATTATATAATGTGGAGGAGTTTGGTTTATAGTTGGAGGATTTATAGGAGCTAGTGTTTCCTTTGTTTTCAGATCCTTCACCAAAAAATGATTAGAGAAAAATTCAACCGAAACAGGATTAGTTCGACATAGAGATGAAACAGATAATAAATTTTGTGAGATATTTGGAACATGAAGGACTTTAGGAAAGTGTAAGTTGTATTTTTTTGTGGGAATAGTAATCTTACCAGTGTTGGCTATTGGAATGATGGATCCATCACCAATGATGATTTGATCTGTTCCAGTGTAAGGACTTTGCAGATGAAGGTTATCAAGTTGATTGGTAACATCATGAGTAGCTGCTGAATCCATGATCCAATCTGGTGTATTTCTAGATGAATGTGCTAGAGTATAATGAGCTGATGGGCCAGAATTGTACTTTGGTGGGTAGCCGTGAAGTTTGTAGCACACTTTAGCCGTGTGACCAGCCTTGTCACAGTATTGACATGTGATTCTCTTGGAAGATCCGGGAGAAGTAGATCTGTTTTGTTGAAATGAGTTGTTGTGATTAGGAGTGTGACCACGTTTTGTGTAGTGTGGTTTTCCTCTGATACCATATAAGAACACAGAATACTGTGATGTTGTCTTTTAATTGATAGATGATGTATTACATATATAGTATTATATTATATACAAATGTAATGAATGTAAATATTAATGGTAATTAACAGCAAATCAATGTCAACTAATACGAATTGATTTGTTGCTCTAAGTTAGCCTAAGAATTAGGAACTGATATTTGACCAAGTTATGCAGCCTTGTCATTGCCTTGTCATGATGCTCCTATAGTTGCTTACCACAGTCTCACTTCTTAGAACATAATCTTCACTGTTCAACAAAAAGGGTGTGACTTCGCATCCGTCTCAAGATTAGAAATCCATTATGTACACTTGTGACCACAATGTTACTACCACGCATCTCATAATACCAAGGTGCAACTTCTTCTACCCTAATTCACTTGTCAAAAGTCTTCATGAGTGAACAACCATCAAGTACACCTCATTTCTTAGCCTCTACAAAACTTAATAACTTTATTGTACATTCGCGTAAAATACATCATGTTACCATGTGAACAATGACAGAGTAGTTAAATAAAATGTCATCTTTCAACGTTCAGATATGGATCGACAGTGATATTTTTTGGGGCATCTCTTACACTTGAATTTTTCATCTAGTAGAAATTCAACAAAGAATGTCATTTTTTGTGAAAAAGCATTAATATATAAAGAGATTGAACAATATTTAAAGACTTATAATATAAATAATCTCAAGGCTTGTTTGTTACAATTATTTAAAATATTTCAATTTTCTATTATAAAGTTTTAAGAGATATTTTAAGAAAAAAAAAACTTCACATGAGAAGTTTGTTAAAAAAACTTTTCATAAAAAAATTAAATGCTATTTAGTTTTGCGTTGAATTATTCTTAGGATGGTAAAATAAAAATAAAAAATTAACTTAAATAAAAAATAAGATTAGATATCATAGGTTGTTTCTAACATTAATGATATGATATCCCTAAATCTTAGAAGTTTTAATGATATGAGATATCCCTAAATCTTATACTTGAGGCTTGTTTGTTACATTTATTTAAAATATTTCAATTTTCAACTATAAAGTTTTAACAGATAATTAAAAAAAAAAACTTGAAATGAGTAGATAAAACAACTTCTCATAAAAAATTAAATGCCAGTACTTTCTTTACGGATGACGTATTCTTAAGATGCTAAAATTTTTAATATTATTGATATGATAAATCCTAAATCTTATAACAATCAAATCAAATCTTATTATTCATCATTACTAATATTCACCTAACTCGTTTATATATATACCCACAAGTGAGGAAGACCTTAACATTTATAAAAAAGAAACATAGTACTTCATAATTTTCCTTAAACCTTCTTCCTCAAAAGCATAACACAAACCTTTTTTTTTTACCGCAACCATGTCCGAGAATACGAATCCCCGTAAAAGACTCATCATTAAGTTGAGTTATCCTCCTGGGTCAAGAAACACAGATGAAAACAAGAGAAGGAAGATCGAAGATTCTGTAAAACCAATCGTAACATGTTATTGGGTTGATTCAAGTTATCGTACCAAATCATCAGCTTTGTCTCAACCAAAGAATAATGACAATGTTGTTGAAGACAAGAAGCTGATCAAGAACCAAGTTTCCAAAACAACAGCAGAGGATAATGACAATGTTGTTGAAGACAAGAAGATGATCAAGAACCAAGTTTCCAACACAGTAATGCCTAATAACACTGTTGTTGAAGACAAGAAGATGATCAAGAACCAAGTTTTGAAAACAACAGCTTTGTCTCAACCAGAGGATAATGACAATGTTGTTGAAGACAAGAAGATGATCAAGAACAAAGTTTTCAAAACAAGAGCTTCGTCTCAACCAAAGAATAATGAGAATGTTGTTGAAGACAAGAAGGTGATCAAGAATCAAGTTTCCAACACAGTTATGCCTAATAACATTGATGTTGAAAACAAGAAGCAAGTTTCAAAAGCAGAAATAGCTTTTAACGGTCGGAAAGAAAGTTCAAGAGGTGAAGAGTGTGGGTTGAAGAAGAAACCGATGGAGTGTGTTAAGAGGAGGCAATGTTGGTTGATATTGAAGAAAGTTCAGTAGCTTGCGTGTTCATAGCTATTTCTCTTTTTCTTTTTCATTCTCTTTCAACTTCCCAGGCTCACATTGGTGGAAAGAATACCAGCTGGCACTCACAAGGGCAAAGCGGCGTCGAAGATCAAATATTGTCAAAAAATGTGCTTTTCCACGGTCGAAGTTGAAAAGAAATTTTTGGGGGGCAATTTGTTAGCTCCTAAATTCGACCCCTCAGGTAGAAAGAAGGTTTCTAGAAGAAAATGGCACGAGAATACCTTGAGTACAAGAAAATGGTCGAAAGGAGGAAGAAGCTAAGTCGAAAACCCACCCCGACGCCAAGGGTTCGACCGCCTGCCAATAACGAATGGTACGTCGAAGTATTTGAAATTTGAATGTTGGAGGGAACGGTTTTGCTTGTGGAAAATGGAGGGAGACACGTGTCACCTTATGAATGATGAATCCATGCATTTAAGACAAGTGGCGGAAGGAGATTATGTTGGAAGTTATTAGAGGTTATTTTTGTTACTATAAATAGAGTGTCTTAGACACATCCAAAGAGTGTTGTAATTTACTATTTGTGCAAATCACTCCTAAATTTACTCAAAGTATCCGAGTGTAGAGAAAAGAGTATCAAGGAGAATGTACGTGATGTAAACACACCATCTTTCAAACTTAATGCAATTTATTTTGTTTTTACTTTAAGTTTTACAAAGTCTTTTACTACCTTTATTGTCCTTACCCTTTTTTTTACTCTTTACCTTACTTTTTTTCCCTTTGCGCAATTCTTTTCCCTTCGCCCTCAAACTAGATTCACCTTTACCAACAAACTTTCTTCTTTTTTATTAGAAGCCTTATTTTACCTGCAAATTAACTCGTAGTCGAATAGATGTTCTTTTAGGATTCTGTCTATCCCAACTTTATTCGAGTGTAGAACTTGGATAAAAGCCTTAAAACCAAAAAATAAATCTTCTAGCACATGTCCTAGGATCAATCTGATCGATCCTGTGAGTCACCAAAGTTAGATTTGGAAGATCAGCGGTTGTTTTCCGATTTTCAAGAAAAACAGTCGCAACCATGACAGATATGGGAAAAGGTTGATATTTTTCAGAAAGTTCTAAACAAGGGAAGGGTAAAGACAAAATGGTTTGATGTCCTTGTTTACTCGATATTTTGGATGGCATTCCGGTGTATAGATAACGATTTTGAGATCACTCTGAGAGTGTTCTACCTCCTAGTTTTATTTTGGACACCCTTGTATATATTGTTCTATAGTTGTAGTTTTTTTTGGACATGTAAATATGTACAATGTTTTCAATAGACACTTATGTATTTCAGTACCAGTATTACACTATGTATAATATGTATTTTTAGACATGTATTATATTTGGATGTTACAAATTTAGTATTTTAGACCGATCTTAATTTTTCCTTAATTAACCTAAATTTTTTTGAAAAAAATATTTATTTTATTATATCAACGTAAACCGCATTTGTCTCCAATAACTTCTCTTTTATTTTTTTGCAAAATAACCTCTTCTCGAATCATTTTTTCACAAAATCTCAATGTCATATCATCTTCTTTTCACATTTTTACAAACTAAGTCATTTCAATTGAATTAGTCCTTAACTTCTGGCATCTTCTAGAGTGATTTTGAAATACATGAGTTATTTTTTTTTCACATACAGTACTCCATTCTATTATATTATTTGTTTCAATTATATGTATTTTAATTTTATTTTTTTACCACAATAAATAAATATTTTGGAAAATTTTAATAAGTGTATGAATCCATATCACATATATTTTTACACAAATAAATTAAAATAAAATTAAAGTTAAATAAAAAATACCCCGATATAGTCCCAGCTACACCGAAACCACTTATTGAATGATTTATAACTGATAACTCTTGTCAACTACCTACAAGACCATCCAATATAGTCTGTTCTACTCTTTACACTTAGTGCGTACTAAATATTGGTTTGCTTCTCGTTGCTTACCACAGTCTCACTTCTTAGAACATAATCTTCATTGTTCAACAAAAAGGGTGTGACTTCGCATCCGTCTCAAGACTAGGAATCCATTACGTACACTTGTGACCATAATGTTACTACCACGTATCTCATAATACCAATGTGCAACTTCTTCTACTCTAATTCACTTGTCAAAAGTCTTCATGAGTGAACAACCATCAAGTACACCTCCTTTCTTAGCCTCTACAAAACTTAATAACTCTATTGTACATTCGCCTAAAATATATCCTGTTACCATGTGAACAATGACAGAGTAGTTAAAAAAATGTCACCTTTCAACGTTCAGATATGGATCGACAATGATATTTTTTGGTGCATCTCTTACACTTGAATTTTTCATCTAGTAGAAATTCAACAAGAATGTCATTCTTTGTGAGAAAGCATTAATATATAAAGAGATTGAACAATATTTAAAGACTTATAATTTAAATAATCTCATGGCTTGTTTGTTACAATTATTTAAAATATTTCAATTTTCTATTATAAAGTTTTAAGAGATATTTTAAGAGAAAAAAAACTTCTCATGTTAAAAAAACTTTTCATAAAAAAGTTAAATGCTATTTTTTTTTTGCGTTGAATTAGTCTTAGGATGGTAAAATTAAAATAAAAAATTAATTTAAATAAAAAATAAGATTAGATATCATAGGTTGTTTCTAACATTAATGATATGATATATCCTAAATCTTAGAAGTTTTAATGATATGAGATATCCCTAAATCTTATACTTGAGGCTTGTTTGTTACATTTATTTAAAATATTTCAATTTTCAACTATAAAGTTTTAACAGATAATTAAAAAAAAAACTTGAAATGAGTAGATAAAACAACTTCTCATAAAAAATTAAATGCCAGTACTTTCTTTACGGATGACGTATTCTTAAGATGCTAAAATTTTTAATATTATTGATATGATAAATCCTAAATCTTATAACAATCAAATCAAATCTTATTATTCATCATTACTAATATTCACCTAACTCGTTTATATATATACCCACAAGTGAGGAAGACCTTAACATTTATAAAAAAGAAACATAGTACTTCATAATTTTCCTTAAACCTTCTTCCTCAAAAGCATAACACAAACCTTTTTTTTTACCGCAACCATGTCCGAGAATACGAATCCCCGTAAAAGACTCATCATTAAGTTGAGTTATCCTCCTGGGTCAAGAAACACAGATGAAAACAAGAGAAGGAAGATCGAAGATTCTGTAAAACCAATCGTAACATGTTATTGGGTTGATTCAAGTTATCGTACCAAATCATCAGCTTTGTCTCAACCAAAGAATAATGACAATGTTGTTGAAGACAAGAAGCTGATCAAGAACCAAGTTTTCAAAACAACACCAGAGGATAATGACAATGTTGTTGAAGACAAGAAGATGATCAAGAATCAAGTTTTCAACACAGTTATGCCTAATAACACTGTTGTTGAAGACAAGAAGATGATCAAGAACCAAGTTTTCAACACAGTAATGCCTAATAACACTGTTGTTGAAGACAAGAAGATGATCAAGAACCAAGTTTTGAAAACAACAGCTTTGTCTCAACCAGAGGATAATGACAATGTTGTTGAAGACAAGAAGATGATCAAGAACAAAGTTTTCAAAACAAGAGCTTCGTCTCAACCAAAGAATAATGAGAATGTTGTTGAAGACAAGAAGGTGATCAAGAATCAAGTTTCCAACACAGTTATGCCTAATAACATTGATGTTGAAAACAAGAAGCAAGTTTCAAAAGCAGAAATAGCTTTTAACGGTCGGAAAGAAAGTTCAAGAGGTGAAGAGTGTGGGTTGAAGAAGAAACCGATGGAGTGTGTTAAGAGGAGGCAATGTTGGTTGATATTGAAGAGAATGATGGTAGATAGAGATGGGTGGGATTTGAAAGATCCTCCAAAAATAGCAATGGTTGATAAGTCTGAGTCAAAGTCAAAGGCAATTGGTTTGAAGGATATTGAGAGAAAATTGAGGCTGTATGCAACACCTGATGAGTTTGCGAGTGACGTAAGGCTTGTGTTCTCAAATGCAATGCTCATGTATCCTCCAAGGAATCATATCTACCGAATTGCAAAAAAGTTCAGTGAGAATTTCGAACTTAAATGGAAGTCATTGAAGGATACGTGGAAACTTGAGGATAGAGGAAGAAGCAAGACTCACAAGAGTAGAATATACTGAAGGCCAACATGTCTGTCAATTAATGTGTTATTAGTTTTCAATTCTGTCAAGTTATTGGAGGCCATTTGATTCATATTATTGGTTACAACACAGCTTTTTTGAATGTCAAAGGAACAAACAGTGTTGAAAGATTTAACGTGTTCTACTAAAACATAATTTTAACATTGTTTGTATAGTTAATTCCTTGAGAAAGTTCAGAATTATATCATGTATGTATTAGTAGCAAAACTTGAGTTATTTTATTATAAAGATATAGCAGTTATATTATATGTAACTGTGGTTGATTCATATATATGCAAACAAATTAGTGTTTCTAATTACCTCTGGTTGGAAGTATTGTAAGTAGTTGTTTCTTTCCATTTGGCCCATATGATTTTCCGTGAAACAATGCTATATCCTTTGTAAACGTCTCTAGCATGACCATCTTTTAGAATTGTTGCACTTATGGTACATTATTAGCAAATATATCACTATTAGTTATGTTCAGTAATATTACTCAACCTCAATAACTAAAATTAATTATTGCGAAAGTTTTTTAAGTCCTTTAATTTTTAACTAGATTTTAAATAGTTCTATTCTACTTAATTTTATAGGTAGGTTTATCGTAATCGTTAACAAAATAATAAATAATTATATTTTTGTTTAAAGGTTAAAAATTGCAATATTAAAATTCAATTTCCTTAAAAGCTTTAAAATAAATTATTATTGTTAGATAATTTTTGTTCTATTGTGGAACAAGAACGCGAGAGGTAACCCTACTAGAAATATTCTGTTTTTCTGCGGATTTTAACAAAATTTTCGAAGAAACGTTTACCTGCGA